CACACACACACTTACGCTACACCCTGCCTGGTCCAGAGTGGATTGACAGCCTTGCTCGCTGTTGGCGTGAAGAGGGAGTCTGGTTGGATGGTAAAATCTGTATTCGAATAGTTCGTGACGAACGCGTCAGATAATGGACTTGAACACTGCACCCACAAACACAGCACAACAAAGGCTCAACCCAACATGTGCATCCCCTCCCCCCCCCCCCCACACACACACACAGACAGACACAGACACATGCATGCACGCATACACATAATATCATTGGTTGTACAGGTAGCTGTGAATTAGCCAGCAAAGTGAGCAATTCTGTGAATTAGGAAAGTGAGCATTTCCCAATGCGTTGCAATTGTCAGAAAAGAAGATGAGGTGATCAGACAGCACGCAATGTTCGAAATCATGTTCCGCACCTTCAGTGAACCCGGCTTTCCTGCTGAGCGACATCGTTTGCCTTGACGGTCTCTCAGATCACCACCTGGTGAGTGCATCTATATCCATCGATCATGCTCTACCTCCATCGCGGAAACAAATAACCATTAGAAAGACAAGCATACGGCATGTGGACACTGAAAAACTCTGAGTAGCAGTAGTGTCAGCGCTAGATAATCGCACCAAGAAGAACATTAATGACGACACAGAGGCATTCCAGTCGAATGTTCAAACCGCACTCAACGAAGTAGCACCAATTAAAACGATCACGGTTTCGCTTCAGAAACCACGCCCACAGCCTTGGCTGACAGATGAACTGAGAAGCTTGCTGCATCGTAAGAAGCACTTACACCGGGCCTCCAGGCGGCACCCGTCTATGGTATGGCAATATCACGCCCTCCGTCGAGAATGTAGCGTCATGTCCCGTCGCTTGAAGTCAGCCTACTTCCTCCAACAATTCCAGGCTTCCCATCGCAACTCGCGGTATCAGTGGACCCTCATTAACATGCTTACAGGTCGTCGTAAGATACAGCGAACTTCCGCAGCTTCCATAGATCAACTGTCTACGCACTTTAGCTCGATTGTCTCTGGTGCCAGAGGACCTGACACCCTGGTAGTTCCTCCCGGTCCAATGCCAGCCACCAGTCTGACCACATGTTCACGTGTTAGTCATGAGGAGGTCCAAGCACTGCTGAGAGAGGTAATCGTCTCCAAAGCCACAGGCTCGGATGGTATCCCCGCAAATATACTGCACACATGTGCTGATGAACTGGCCGGAAGTATCACTTGCATCTTCAATGAGTCACTGGCCACTGGTATCTTCCCGAACCTTTACAAAATTGCCTCTGTTACCCCACTGCTCAAGGCTGGAGATTCCTGTCAAGCCAGCAACTACAGACCAATTTCCCTTCTCCCGATAGTCTCAAAGCTCCTCGAAAAGATCGTTCTGAAACAGCTGAGAAAGTACATCGAAGACAACCCCGACCTCAACATTCTTCCTCCCCAGCAATTTGCTTATAGGTCCCACCATTCTAGTGAGGATGCGCTAAGCTGCGCCATAAACAGATGGCAGTGTAGCTTGGAAAAGCGGAACGTGGTTGGTGTGTTATTTTTAGACATGAGCAAAGCTTTCGATCGAATCCGCCATGACACCCTCCTGGATGATCTTTTCCAATGCGGCATCGGAGGCACAGCCTTGTCCTGGTTTGCAAACTATCTTTCCGACCGATACCAGCAAGTTGAATATCGCCGAACTGGTCAGACCGCTACTCCCGTCGCATGCACAAGAGGAGTTCCACAAGGATCGGTGTTGGGACCTGCCCTCTTCACGATATACACAAGAGAGGCACCAACACGTGTAAATAGTGACTCTCTACTCTACGCCGACGACACCTGCCTATCAAAGGCCTGCAAAGTGTCCAACATCTCGAGCATGCTGAGGGTTTTATCAGAAGATTTCGCCGCTCTTAAATCATATTTTGATGGTCGTGGCCTTCTGGTAAACCCAAAGAAAACCGAACTCCTGATCATCCATTGTGCCAGTGACTCAATTCCGGTGACTGAATCAGTGCTGTGCGACATGACTGTCATCACCTCGTCACCTACATGTAAGTATCTTGGGCTCCACATCGATGAGCACCTGACCTTCCGACCCCATATCTCCCACCTCCGTGATGACATTAATAAGAAGCTAGGTGCTTTTAGGCGAGGCAGAGACAACCTGGACAGTAAGGCCCGCCGAGTTTTCTATCTCGGAGTTATACGGAGCAAATTGGAGCACGCAAGCACATCATATGTTCATTCATTACACGCTGCAGAATACAATAAGCTTCTAGGACTAAGCCGCCGAGCTGTTCATGTTGTATTTGCCTACCCTTCCCGTGCTGACGTTGAGCCCATTTTGCATTGTCAAAACCTCCACCCACTCAGCATCAGGTCCCTTGGCAGTCCCCTCATCTCCCAAATCTTTACGACCCGAAATGCTGCTACCCACACTACCTCCCAAACCAGAGGCCAAACATCCAGTAGTCTCTTTCTCCCCCCATTCATGTCCCGTCCAGGCCTCTACAGCCTCTCATTTCTTGGTGCTGACCGCTTTAATGCACTACCCGCTATCATTCGATCCCAGCGTACCTTTCCTGCTTTTCGCACTAGCTGCTCACAATTTCTCCTTGGGCACCCTGTAAGAAGGCCATAGACCTGTTGGGTATACCCAAGTAAAATAATAAATACTACTATTACTACTACTACTAAAGCGATCCCTTCTAAACTTGAAAACACCAACTGTGAAGCCTATATACACATACATGTAATTGTATAACAGTGCCCCCCCCCCCCCCCTACCCCTCTTTGTCAGTGCACAGATACAAGTAAATGTACCAGCAACCCGCTGGAACTCAGTTCCGGCATCGGTCCGCCTTGCTGCTTCACCACGTCAATTTCGTATCGCAATCCTAGATTGGCTAGGGTACCCCGTAAGGAGACCATAGGTCTGTGGGGACTGCCCTAGAGAAATATGAATAAATACTAAAATACTATACTAACCCCACCTAGCTCTCCATAAACCAGCTCCCCTATACCAGTGCCCCTATACCAGCTCCCCTATACCAGCTCCCCTATACCAGCTCCCCTATACCAGTGCCCCTATACCAGCTCCCCTATACCAGTGCCCCTATACCAGCTCCCCTATACCAGCTCCCCTATACCAGTTCCCCTATACCAGTGCCCCTATACCAGCTCCCCTATACCAGTGCCCTTATACCAGCTCCCCTATACCAGTGCCCCCACCCCTCCCATAACAGTACCATCCCATAACACAACTCCGACCTCCCCTCCCCCCCCCCCCCCACACTCCCTCTTTCAAACACTGATGTTCAAAAATGGAGAGGATTACAAGATTATGCAAGCTTACACCTGGAGGGTATGCGTGTGAGTAGGAATTACTACATCGTTGTGTCTCGGCATAGTTACGTCCAGGATTATCGTTGAATGCAGCACTGACGGACTGCTTGGAATACGCACAGATAGACGACCCCAAAGGCAGACCCCTACAGTCCAGCAACAACAACAACAACAACAACAACAACAACAACAACAACAACAACAACAACAACAACAACAACAACAACAACAACAACAACAACAACAACAACAACAACAACAACAACAACAACAACAACAACAACAACTTTGATCTCTCTGTATCTGATCCCCGTGCCTGTAATTATTTTTCTCTTATTGGCCACAGGCCATCGTGAGAATAAAAGAATTCAACAACAACAACAACAACAGCAGCAGCAGCAGCAGCAGCAGCAGCAGCAGCAACAGCAGCAGCAGCAGCAGCAGCAGCAGCAACAGCAGCAGCAGCAGCAGCAACAGCAGCAGCAACAAAAAGGGATACTTGCATGTAGTTGAATGCAAGGTCTTGCAAAACAGTACTTGATAGCGTGGTGTACATGTATGTTGTATGCAGGGTACTGGGATACTGAATAGCTGTACTCTACTGGCGGTGGATAGACTTACTCCAGAGTGGTGAACGACGCAACAACATACTGCCGGGTCGCACTGCCGGGGTCACTCACTTCGATGGCTGAAGCTACAAGATAGGAAAACCAGAACAAGGAGACAGAAATAGAGTGAGAGAGAGAGTGTGTGAGAGAGAGAGAGAGTGAGTGCGAGAGATAGAAAAGGCATGCGTGTATGTGGGCGAGACAAGAGACAGATATACACCGGCAGACCAAACGGATGAGAGTTCATCGGTGCACCAGGCATCTTACTGATCTGTCGCATCTCCCAGCGGCTTGCCGGGGAACCAATACCCCTAGCATTGAAGTTACGGAGGCTGGACAGGCCTGAACAGGCCACTCGAATACGCCGTAAACTACTCAGGTAGGTAGCGTTCTGGGCGTCATTCTGAAGAGAAGAAAACAGAGAAAAGAACCAGCATACATTGGCGGCCCAATGGTATTCCTCAGTATCAGTCTGTTACTGTACAGTAGCACTAGGCAAATTGCCATAACCCTAATTTCCTTTCTCAGATCGTTGAAAATGACGAACCGCGGGAGAGCGGGATCCAGGGATAAATAAGTATCGTAATAATATAAAAAAAGCAATAGAAAGGATAAATTGCGCCGTCATCACCACACATCAACAAAGTCATGAAGGTGTTCATTCATGTGTGGTGATGAATTGGAATTTATCCTATTTCTCCGATGCTTGCAAACACCCGCACTAATAGCTAATAGTTTACCAGGAACACTCCACAACAGCAAGCAGCTACCGAAGTACTTGTAAAATGCTTGTTTCGTTCCATGATAGTTTGTAATTGCAACCGTCGTGTGGTCTTGTCTGATCGAAAACAAACAAAACAGAGAACCTACTATTGTAAAAGCAGAAATTTTCGGTGGTGTTTTATTTTCAGTAACTTCGGTGCCGACAATTTTCACGGCAATATATGAAGTTAGCAAATGTTATACAGTAATAATACTGGTTCACACTCAGAGGTCTCCATCGATGAACTTCATGCCAAAAACATGCTGTCGATGATCATTGCCCGCAATGAAATCATTCGCCACATTAACTGCGCTGAGCTGATCCGTCAGGCCCTTGTGAACATGAACCAGCATCAGGTGGTTCAGCCGCCGCTGACTCATGGTGGACCGTAAGTAGGATTTAATCCTCCTCATGGCGCTGAATATGCGTTCACTGGAAGCGTTAGTGGCCAGCATTACCAGGAGCAGCTTCACTAGTAACCCAACCTGCGACATCAATTGCAGGACGTGTTGAGGGCACTTCTCGAAGAACTCGAGGAGGCCAGACACGGACACTTCACCGTCAGCGGAGAAATTCTTCTGGAAGATCTGCAGGTGAGTTGCCAATAGTGCATCATCCAAGTCTGTACCATAAAACTTGACAACAGATTCCAACTCACTGCTGTAAGGCTTGCCATATGCTGCCTTCAACAGCAGGTTTTGCAGCTCGAAGTATACACGATACCCAGGCTGATCAAAGCGATTTTTGATGCAGCCGGTGATGAGGTCAATGGCCTCGAAATACTGAGGGCGGTAGTGGTCCTCCACTGAAGACGCGAATTCAGCAGGGGCCATCCCATCATCCAGGCGTCGCGGAATCTTTCACCGTCAAGGCAATGCTGGCTCAGCAACATCAAACTCCTCAGCTACACCTTTCACGTTCTCAAAGAACTCGTTGAACTTGCTGATGGTGCGGAAGGCCTGGAGGGTTGTCCCTGTTATGGAGGCAATTTCCTGCCTTTCAGCAGCTGAAATGTCGTCCCGCTGCAAGTTGCGGCTTAAAATGTCACTATGACGGAGTATGAAAGAGCCAAGAGCCACACCAAACATGAAGTCAAACTTGCGCATTTGACCTGCAACTCCCTGGATACGGGCCTTCATCTCCGTATCCCGGACATGCTCGAGAGATTCGGCAAACAGCTGTTGAAGAATGGCATAATTGTCAGCTATGCTCTTCAGGGCGTCGGCATGCACCGTCCACTGTGTAGGGCCACAGAACACGGATACCCAGGCAATCACTGGCAAGCTGATCTTTCAACTTTCTGAATTCAGCATCCCGATGTGGCGACTTCTTCATTAACTTTGTAATCTCATGCATGGTGTCCAGAGCATCTTTCATAAGTTTCGACTTCCTGGTGGTGTCTCCACAGGCAAGATTAAGGCTGTGGCCATAGCAGTGCGTGAACACAGCTCGTGGCTCTATATCCTGCAGATGCTTGGCCACACCGGACCGTATGCCAGCCATCGACGCTGCACCGTCATAGCCTTGCCCACGCAGCTTCCCTGTGGGTAAATTAAGCCGTTGCAGGACATCAAGAACCACGCGGAAGATGTCCTTTGCGCTGGTGGAACCAACTTCATGAAGGATAATGAACTCTTCGTGGACTTGAAATGTATCGTCAACTCGACGAAGACAGATCACGACTTGCTCCACATTGGTCACATCTGCAGTCTCATCCACCATCACAGTTGCGAATGCCGTCTGCTGGAACGACTGTGCTACTGAGCGGATGACACGCATGGCAATTGTCTTCAGCAGCTCATTCTGCATTGTTCCAGACACATACTTGTCAGTTCTTTTTCTCCACCCATGAAGTTAGCAAGGGAAAATCCTGGGAGCGCAGTTTCAACAACTGCATGAAATTGGAGTCCAGCTCATCCCCATCACCACGCAAGGGAAGACCTTGTCGAGCGAGAAACTTCACATTCGAAACTATTTTGAGGAAACATCTTCTAGCGTCCTGACGCTCTTTCCACAGCTGCTGGGAGAGAAGCTCGCCAACGTTCTGCGTAGAAGCAGGAATCGAGATCAGCTTCAGAGCAGCGTCGCTGTGGCAGCGACTGCTCTCGTGCTTCGTGAACTTGGCGCTGGCGTCTTTTCAGTTACTAAACCCGGAGGAAATAAACGCCTTCTCCAACAAGCTAGCCGTCTTCAAATGTCCTTTACTATATGCGGACACACACGTAAAGCAAAAGGCCAAGTCATTGCCCTGCTCATAGTGCAGCCATTGCCACCGCTGAAACCACTGGGGCTGAAACGACCGCTTCACCACCGTCGACTTTCTGAACTCGCGCTGTGGAAAAGCAAACGCAGACGGCTGACAAGGTTTATCTCCCAGGGTCGCCGTTGGCAGCAAGGGATTGGACAGCTTGCTGCAAACAACTCCAAATCAACTCCCACAGAACTCTCAAACATCTGCTGATCTCCCGGCACAAACTGTCCTCAGAAAACGGGCAAGGGAGAGAAATCCTGAAGTGGTGCTCTCGAAACGGAAAGTACCGACATCGCCACCAACAAATTCAGCTTTCCGTGATCCCCGAACGCTTCTACCGAGCCAAAAACGAGCATGTCGTAGACTACGGTTGCCTGGCACTGGGTGCTCTCCGTAAATCAGCGCGTAGCCTGCGAGACCGAAATCGGCATCAGGTACATCGACGCTGGGCCTGTACAGGGATTTTTTGTGCTTCGGCCCGGAGGTGTGAACAAGGCAAGAGGCCTTTTTCGCGTGCGCTTCCGATCCCAAGTGTTCAGTGTAGTGCAGCATCCATAAAAAAATTAAAAAAATCGGCCGAAAAAGTGGGGCGGCCTCAGCCGCCCCGGCTGTGACGGCCTTGGAAATGATGGAGATGTGAGTGCGCTTCTAACTTTGCACCCCCTCCCACACACATGCCCACACAGACACAAAAGCGTGCATGATACCCACACCCACACCCACATACAAAGAGTGAATGACCTAATCCCTCCCCCCCCCCCCCCCTCTGACAAACACATACAAAGAATAAAAGGTGACCTACCTCCCTCCCCCCTACACACACACAAATACACAGACAGAAGACAGTAGAGGGTGGCACATCATTCAGATATCTTACCTGGCAATATCGGAATATAACTGCACCATGATCTAACTGACCATTGTCCTGCTCGGCATGGTGGAGAATACGCACACATACCATGTACCATACACACACATACACACACACATACACACACACATACACACACACATACACACACACACACACACACACACACACACACATGCACGCGGGCACGCATCAAAAGACGAAGAGCGGAGAAACAACAACACCTCAGTCTAGATAATTATCAAATTGTTTGCAGTTGAACTCCCACCAGACGTACCAACATGACCAGCAGCAACAACAACGTATAGCTAGCATACGGGATTTTTCTCGTCCTGATACATCAGTACGTGCACGCACACCAGTGCTACGGACATGTTAAGTGTGTATCTTATCGAAGTACAGTCGACTCCCCCACCGTTAGGCGCTGCATCTGCCGCTAGGGTTTATCGGGTGTTAGCGGCCGTCTTGAGTTCCCTTTGGGAACGAACACGATAATTAACTTTTTTTTTTTACAGTCGACTCCTGATACAACAAACATCAGTGTGCAGGAGAAATAGTTCTTTATTTTAAATATTTTATTTTATTTATTTATTAATTACAGCATCTCATAGCTCTTTATAGTAGGGAGTTCAATTGAAAAACCAAACTCGCGAGTTTTGCATAAAACGCTAGTTTTTCTAAACCGGGAAGATGTGAGAAACAACCTGTGAAAATTTGATCCCAAAATTCCAAGGCAATCTAGAGTTATAGTCGATTGAAGGCCTGGATATGGGGGAGAAAATAGTCACAGAAGTAAATGCAAGTGTGTATGTGAGCCGTGTGGTTTCCGTCCAGCACTGCACTATCCGGTGCGTACATGGCGATACAGGATGTGTGCATGCATGCAGTGCGCACGCATGCGTGCGCGCCTACTTGCACAAGTCACACGTTTTCACCGTCACTGCTAATACAGAGTGCGCGCAGTTCACTCAATTTTTTTCGTCAACCACCAGGAAATCGCCGTGGGCTGGTTTCTGTGATCATTTTCCTTCTACTGCGATAAAGCGCGAGCCTAAATGTTCTAGAATCCTCTTGGTTTAGGCTGATTCGAGGCCGCTGAATACGAAAATTGGGTGTTCCTCGCGGGGCCGAGTACGGATCTGATCGAAATTAGTACTTCGAAGTGCATCCGCGCCAAGCGCGGAGGCAATATTTTTGGAAGCATGGCATGTGTGGCACCATTGGAAAGGTAATGACCTCAGCTACCTAAAAATAGCATCGACAAGGCCGAAAAGGCCGCGGGAGGAGATACCGCAAAGTCGTGGATAAAAGCCGGGCTTGTAAGCACAAAAGCCGCTTTCTGCATCAGGCTTTAATCCAAACCAGGCTTGTATGCAAACCATGCTTATATGCACCACTGATATTTTGCCAGGCTTTTACGCGCGACAAGCGTAGATCTACCACTGACTACCGGTATGGCGGCAGTTTTACTATGCACCGTACATAGCGCATGCACTCTTGACCTACCCGATCCGCGCTTGCATAGAAGCCATGCTTCTATGCGCGACAGGCTTATATGCATTTGACCCGTTTGATTTTCAGGCTTCTATCCGCGATGTGCTTGTATGCAAACCCGGCTTTTATCCGCGACTTTACGATACTTGGGCCTCAAACTGCATCTCGAACTGCAGCCACGAGGTGCCCATTCACTTTGTACAGGCGAGCTGTAACTGCATTTTTTGCTTTTCAGCGACCGGAACTGAACTCCCTATTTATAGCCAAAGTTTGACATATCCTGAAAAAGCAGAAGTTTTAGGTGGTGTAATTTTTCGGTATTCTCCAAAATCGGCGGTTCGGCAGAGGGAAAATTTCGGTGAACCCGTTTTCCAGGTAAGTGTACTGGTCCTAGTACCGAAATATTCGGTGCGTTTTATTGTTGGTAAAAATTGTCGGCACCGAAAATATAACTCCACCGGAAATTTCTGCTTTTACAGAAACAGTGACAGGGACTTATACCATGGGTTCAAACTGGGACATGGACAACTGTTCGCTATATCACGAAATTAGCTATACGCGACTTCATTATGACTGCACGTGCTAAGCGAATTCCGCGGAACAATGTGCGAGGATAACCTTGCATTCAGAAAAAAGCGGACTTAGAACATTACAAAAGGCGGCTGCCAAGGTGGTCAGTTGCCGAAACAAAGGTTCACTTGCACCAGTTGTCATGCATCATGCCGCTTACCGAAGGTCCGACGCTTGAAGACCACACGTAGACAAATCCTTTATACACATACTGCAGGACATAGCGCGTGAAATGACCCCGGTTGGTGTCTGAGTTTGGATTTGTGGACGCCTTGAACAAGGAGACCGTCCAAGTGAAGCTGAAGTCGGGCAGAGGCGGGGACATTAGCGCACTATTCTTCCGCTGAAATGTGTCCAAATGTACATAGTCAAAGCTGTCGAAAAAGGATCTGCCTCTCAAGAAGACGAAGCGGCCATTGCCAGATTTATGTCCAGCGGTATAGTACTGGGCTGCTAAACGACCTGCCGTACTCACACCTTTGATGCAAGAAATACACAAGACGGCAGAAGAAAGAGAACAGCCAGCATAAGGTGCTGTGTGTGTGTGTGTGTGTGTGTGTGTGTGTGTGTGCGCGCGCGTGTGTATGTGCGTGCGTGTGTGTGCCGCTCACGAGACATTGAAGCGGACTGGACTCTCGCCCAGACTGGAGGTTGCCTTGAACCTCGAATTCCCCGGATCCCCCCGTACCAGCATCAGCGACTTGCTACACATGCACCCGGCACTTTGCGCGTTAAGACTCAAGGTGATCCTAGCTAGGCACAAGTACACGGCTGAACGGCAGAAGTCGATTTCGGAGCAGAGAGGTGCATGTCAGCGCCCTCGACGTCATCGTTTGTTCCAGAGCTGCGGTGGCTTACCTGTGCACCGTTGCTCCGCTTCTACCTCATGCCCCGCACTGACCGCATCAGCTGCTGCTGCCACCATTGATGCTGCCGCTCGGAGTTGCTGGAGTGCTCACTGCGACATCGGCAATCGTTGTTTCCGCTCAACCCAGGGACGCAACCGCCATCGCTGTTCAAGGCACTTCCACCGCCCAACAACTAGAGAATGGGACAAGCCCCCGCCTATTTGTATCTGCTCTCGCTGGTTCTGACTAGTCTCGCGTCTGGAGCGTCATCGGTTGGCGTGCTCTCTCTCTCTCTCTCTCTCTCTCTCTCTCTCTCTCTCTCTCTCTCTCTCTCTCTCTCTCTCTCTCTCTCTCTCTCTCTCTCTCTCTCTCTCTCTCTCTCTCTCTCTCTCTCTCTCTCTCTCTCTCTCTCTCTCTCTCTCTCTCTCTGCTGCCCCACTGGGGCCCACATGACCCTAGTGGTAGTGGCTCTACAGGACAAGACAGCTGTGTGCAAGTGCGTATGTTTGTGTACGCATTAGCTTGTGTGTATGCGTGCGTGTACACGTGTGTGTGCGCATGTACACAGACACAGACACACACGCCTGTCCTGTCCTGTAGAGCCACTACCACTAGGGTCACGTGGGCCCCGGAGGGGCAGCAGAGAGAGAGAGAAGGAGCACGCCACCCGATGGCGCTCCAGATGCGAGACTTGTCGGAACCGGCGAGAGCAGATACACATATGCGGGAACTTGTCCCGTCCTCTGGCCGTTGGTCGGTGGCAGTGCGTTGAACAGCGATGGCGGTTGCGTCCCTGGGTCGAGCGGAAACAACGATTGCAGGTGTCACAGTGAGCATTGCAGCACCTCCGAGCGGTAGAGTCACCGGTGACAACAGCAGCTGGTTCGGTCGGTACTGGGCACGAGCTAGAAGCGGACCAACGATGCACAGCCAAGCCTCCGCGGCTCCGGAACCAACGATGACACCGAGGGCACTGACATGCACCTCTCTGCTCCGAAACCGGCTTCTGCCGTTCAGCCGTGAACTTGTGCCTAGCGAGGTCGCCCTGACGTGCGAAGTGCCGGGCGCATGTGAAACAAGTCACCGGTGCCGGTACGAAGGGATCCGGGGCGTCCGAGGTGTAAGCCAACCTCCAGTCTGGGCGAGAGTCACAGGCCACTCTGTCATCGCACATCGTCCATGCGGGCGACATGGCCTAGCCACTCGAGGCGCCGATGCCGAGCCTTGGTGACGATGGTTTCAGAGTCACCCCGCCACTCAAGCAGTTGGTTGTTGGATATCTGGTCATCCCAGCAACGATGGCGTGTGATTCCCAATATCGACCGCACGCATCGCATGTGGAAAACAGATATGTGACGAAGGTCCTGCTTCAGCAGTGTCCAGCACTCGGACCCATACAGCACCGAGCAGAGACAGGACACAAGCATTAAACACACAATGTCACAGCGTTTAATATGAAGATCCAAGTTCTTAAAGTTGGTTGCTCCAACGAGGAGCACACGCTTCTTGCCGAACTTGACACTTGACTTGGAGCAACCAACTTCATGACATTACCGCCGAAGTCGCAACTTCTAAGTTCGGATCCAAGTTCTTGTTCCTGAAAACAGATTGCTGCAGAGCACCACAAGCCCGGGACGCACTTGCCACCCGAGCGCTGATATCCTGCGAAGATCGGCCGCCACAGTGGATGATACACCCCGGGTACTTGAACTCCGGCACGAACTCAATGTCCACACCGGCAAGCTGTATGGGCGCCTGGTCCGCAGCCGTGACGCCAGCTCCCGCAACCAAGAACTTGGTTTTGGTTGCGCTCACGGTGAGGCCGAACTCCGAAGCGGTCGAGTTGAACAGGTCCAAGGCAATCTCAGCACCAGCACGCCATGTTGCAAGCAGGGAGGAATCGTCCGCGAACTGTGCCTCTAGGGCAGTGTCAGCGGTGTCAGCCCGGCGTGCCTTGCGCTGTAGTTGACCCTCACCATAGTGGTAGCTGAACTCAAAACCAACGCCAGGAATACCTCTGACCCTCTGTTGCTACTTGGTGACTACTGCCCACATGAAGATGTTGAAGAGGACAGGAGCCATAGTGCAGCCTTGCCGCAAGCCGTTGGTGACGCTAAACGGATCCACGTCTGTGCCACTCACACGCAATACTGCAGACATCTCATGGTGGAAAGATCGGATGACTGCAAGCAGGGGGGGGGGGGGGAGGGGGGAAGGACACCAGCACGGGAGAGCACCTGCCAGAGGCACTCACGGGGCACGGAGTCGTAGGCCTTCTTCAGGTCAATGAAGACGAAGAAACCCCCTTGGCTGTATGCTCGATGGTCTTCTCGAGCAGCTGACGTACGCTGAACACCATGTCCGTGCAGGATCTGCCTCGCCGAAAGCCGCATTGTGATTCCGGGAGGAAGCTGCTGGCCATGCCCTGGATTCTCGTCTGAATGAGACTCGCCAGGACCCTGCCGACAACATCGAGCAGCGCGATGCCACGCCAGTTGTCGCATCGGTTCAGGTCCCATTTCTTCGGGATTGGCACAAGGGTAGCGTCTACCCACTCCTGCAGCACTTGGCCGGCCCGCCATACATCTCCGAATAGCTCCACAAGCTTGCTGTTCAGCGACTCATCCCCTGCCTTCACCATCTCCGGCAAGACGCCCGAGGCTCCAGCAGCCTTGCCATTCTTCAAGCGAGCAACGGCGCGGCACACTTTGCGCAGCGTGGGAGGTTCAGCAAGGTCTTCGGCAAGCGGTAGTTGAGGGATACCATTCAGCGCATTCGGTGTCCAAGTGCTCATGACGTTGAGCACTCCAGAGAAGTGCCTTCCCCAGCGCTGTCCCTGCTCACCCGGTGACGTGCATATATTTCCGTTCTCGTCAACGATCGCTGCTGTCCGTACTGGTTGGAGGCCGCGTCCAGCAGACTGGAGGTCAAGGATACATTTCCACACGACAGCGCCATTGAAACGGGCGTCGGTGGCCGCCTGAGCTTTAGATTTGATCCAGTCTACTCTGGCCGTATCGATTGCAGCGTGTGCGTTCGATCCGGCTGCCTTAAACTCCTGGTGAAACGGAGTGTCTCACTGCTGGCCACGGCGAAGCCAATCCTCGTAGGCCGCATTCCGCGTGTCCAGTAGGTGTTGGATGTTTGGCAGGGCTTCATGGAACCAGTCTGGCTGACCCCGTTTGCAAAATCCAAGGGCTGTGGATGCAGAAGTGTCAAGGGTGGACTTGATAGAGGACCATTTCTCACTAATGTTGGAATTCTCGAGCCAGTTGCGGTCGATCTCCTCCTTGATCATTGCCTGGTAGATATCGGTAGGCGTAGGATCTTCAGGGGAAGACGTGCGATGGTTCTTCAGCTGTGCAACGTTAAACCGGCGCCGGACACTATCCTTGCTCTGCGCCCCGCGCCGCACCGGCGGTGGAAGGTGCAGAGCCATATAATTATAGCAGTTGGTGGTCGCTGCCGCATTCAGCACTCCGGATGACAGCCGCGTCGGTGCATAGATGGCGGTCGTCTTGCCGCACAAGTATGAAACACACACACACACACACCTGGCCTGGTGTACAGCTGCCAAATGCTTGGCCATGCCGCCCCCGAGACAGGGGAGAGTAGAAGAGAGAGTTTGAGAGAAGTCAGCACTGCCACCAGGTAGCCGCTCCGCCACGACGTCGTCCACTATTGCATACTGTATTGACAGCTACCCTAACGGGTCACGCTGCCCTCCACCCAAGCATGGGTATGATGAGGGATAATGGCAACAAAAGCAAAAACAGCAAGCAGAGAGAGATAGAAGGAGAAAGACAGCGCAAGTAGTACCTCTGATATGCGACGTATAGAAAAGAGAAATGACAAGAGATACGCACAAAAAGGAAACAATAATTATTTGAACCTGTATTATTGCAGTTCCGAAACAATCAACCAGGTGATGGAGTGTGGGCACTCGAAGTCCCACCTGGACTCCACTGGAAGAACATCCCACGCAGGGATATCAACGATAGGCCAAGCGTTGAAAAACAGCCATGAGGACACATCGTCTAGAAGTCCACCGCGCTCGAACTGAAATTGCAGGATTAAACAATTTCCCACACGTCGTCAGGCAGCGTAACCCTTCTCCCTGAATCACCATCCATTTCCAGCAACCGTCTCCACTCACAGCTCATGCCTCTGCCACCACTGTACTCCGAGCCTAGACGATCCAGCTCCAAAACGACAACATTGATTCTTCTCTCATCATATTCAAATCTTGAATTTTGAATACTCTCTTGGCGAGCGAAAGCCGTCTCTATCGGGCCAGAGGTGTTCAGCAGAGAGCGAACATTCCAGGAAGCCAGCTGAAGACTCTCTCCCTCCCTCTCCACTCTTCTATGGACAGATTTCTTGTCAGTACCCACTCGCGGGCTCGTCACACCGCGACGAGTGGCAACTCTTGTCAGATGACAAGTGGCAGTATCAATCTCTGCCCCGGACATGACGCCTGAGTTTCCAAGAGTTGTTGTGACACTCTAGCCAACCGGGGGGGGGGGGGGGGGGGGGGCATACACACACACACACCTTGGACCTTGGACGCGCTGCCATATTCTGGCTATGCGGACCCCATGGGGGGTTGAGCAGGTTCGGAACAGTAGGGGCGATGACGGGATAGGTCCTGTGATCTACTGAAACGCCGACCGCAACACACACTGTACTTGTTGTACTTGTTGCTCACTGCCAAAACTGGTCACGTGAGTCCCCCCGGGAGAGGGGAGAGAGACTCAAAAGGAATCTTGGAAAGATGACTCAATTGGTTATTGAACCGCCCAACGGCAGACACCCCTGAAATCCCCAAAACGCTGGGTGGACTTCACGCAACACACACACACACACACACACACACACACACAAACACACACACACACACACACACACACACACATACACACAGGCACACACAGGCACACCATGTAAAGATCATATTATGGTGGTGTCAGTGTGTCGCGGGATTGGCTTCGCCTACAAGCCCATGTGCCTCTATATGTGAAGGTGTGCTCGTACCCAGATATGGGCACATACGCGCCTAAATGCGCGTGAGTACGGTACGTCAGGACCGGCGAGAACAGTTTGTTATTGGTCCGGCCATATTCTAGCCAATGAATCATGTCTTGTGTACGATATGGCCATATTCTAGGCAATGAATCATGCCTTGTGTATGATATGGCCATATTCTAGGCAATGAATCATGCCTTGTGTATGATATGGCCATATTCTAGCCAATGAATCATGCCTTGTGTACGATATGGCCATATTCTAGGCAATGAATCATGCCTTGTGTACGATATGGCCATATTCTAGGCAATGAATCATGTCTTGTGTACGATATCGATATGGCCATATTCTAGGCAATGAATCATGCCTTGTGTACGATATGGCCATATTCTAGGCAATGAATCATGTCTTGTGTACGATATCGATATGGCCATATTCTAGGCAATGAATCATGCCTTGTGTATGATATGGCCATATTCTAGCCAATGAATCATGCCTTGTGTACGATATGGCCATATTCTAGGCAATGAATCATGTCTTGTGTACGATATGGCCATATTCTAGGCAATGAATCATGCCTTGTGTACGATATGGCCATATTCTAGGCAATGAATCATGTCTTGTGTACGATATCGATATGGCCATATTCTAGGCAATGAATCATGCCTTGTGTACGATATGGCCATATTCTAGGCAATGAATCATGCCTTGTGTACGATATGGCCATATTCTAGGCAATGAATCATGTCTTGTGTACGATATGGCCATATTCTAGGCAATGAATCATGCCTTGTGTATGATATGGCCATATTCTAGGCAATGAATCATGCCTTGTGTACGATATGGCCATATTCTAGGCAATGAATCATGCCTTGTGTATGATATGGCCATATTCTAGGCAATGAATCATGCCTTGTGTATGATATGGCCATATTCTAGCCAATGAATCATGCCTTGTGTACGATATGGCCGTTGTATAAACGATCCCCGAATCTGTAAACACACGTTGGGGACCAAAAGTTTTGTCCGGCCATTGTTATCGAATTCCTTTCTCAGTTATAGGTCGGAGCCTAGAACACTACAAGCTCTTCTGCATGTTTCCTGGATCCCTCATGACCACGCAACACAAGGCCTGACCAACCGGACCGATTTCGACGGGCCAGTGTGTAACATCTTACCAAGAGTACATAAACCAGAGTATGCAACTCGGGATGGTTCCTGTGGGAGCGTAATTCGTGCACTACGTCATTTCTGACGGCATGGTAAGCCACAGGTACGGTGAAAAGTTGCGTAACCAGTCGCAGTGGTGCAGTTCACTGAGTTTGTCCTGATTTCGGTTTTTTGAGACGGATAGCCTGGTGACTTTACTTGTCGGTGGATGTACGCAGCGTACACAGTCACACAAAACACCGAAATCCTGACACAGGACGTCTAAAATCAAGCAAACTTGGCTGATTTCCGGACTATGAAACATGAAAATTTGAGCTGTACGCAAGCCGCGGCTTGGCTGATCTCATCAGGGTGACGTAGTGCACGAACTGCGCTGTTTCAGATCTGATATGCACAGTTGCACACTCTGGTTTATGTACTCTTGATCTTACCTGGCACTGTGTCCGTTCCGATAGACAAAAATGTCCTTGGCACAGAGGAGGACTGTCCCAGAGTTGCTTGGAAGCTATCATACACAACACTTATGTTGGACATCTATTGCAGCACAAGACAAGCGGAAACTCACAAACATCACACACACGAACACGGGGGCGCACACATACACACACACACACACACACACACACACACACATATATATATATATACACACATACACACACACACACACACACACACACACACACACACACACACACACACACACACATATATATATACACACACACACACGAACACGGGGGCGCACACATACATACACACATACACACACACACACACACACACACACACACACACACATATATACACACATACACACACACACACACAGCCACAAACACACACAAATCAATTTGTCCATAAGTTTCTTGCAGACAGAAATGCAATCAGACTGACAACGAGAACAAGCTGTGGGTTCTTTGCAATCCATAGTCCAAAGTTTGCACTAGTACAATCATCGCCGTCTTCTCACGACGACACAAGCAGAAGAACAAACAAGGCAGAAGAACAAACAAGCCTGCAGGAAAGAGAGATGTTCAGCTGAACGTCATTTTTGACGTGGCGTAAAAGTTTCGCTCGCGTTACTTTCGCTCGCGCGTTGGAAAACAATGCAAGAGAGCTGCATCCCCACGTCGAAATTCGGCGTCTTACGCCAGTCGATGACCAATTCGACTTGAAATTGCGCGTGACGTCAAAAATAACGTGCCGCTTAACCTCGCTAATGAGTATACACGTTGGTGATATGCGAAGCAGTAGCCCCAGTACTGCAAAACGGCTAATTTTAGCGGGGGTGATATTTAAGCAATTTTAGCGAAAAGAGAGTTTTTGCTAAAGGCATGCCGCACCAATCGACATTTCGCATGTTCAGTCCAGTACCAGTCAACTCTGAAACTCGGATCCCAAACAAAATAATATACTTCAAGTAATTATTATTTCATCGCGAATTGGGCCTGATTTAGGAAATGCTAAAGTGACGCCCGTTAAAATTGGCCATTCTACAGTGTCATGTTTAGGTGAAAACAGGTGGAGAACAAAAAGAAACGAGGAAACAAACTAGGGGATGTACACCGCTATCCTGCATACGGGTGTAAGCGCCTGACATCTTCTTACCGATCTTATCTGACAGTTGGAAACGTTGGCGAATGTTGACACTGTGCCACAGGTCACCAGATAGTTTTTACCATTGGAGTCTGCAACCGGTTGAATCAAAGACACCCAGTTCTCACACACAGGCCGCAGCCATGGCAGGCACACCGTCACACCCGACTGTATGCAACAAAAAAAAAACAACAAAAAACACAAACGCCAGGGCATGTGCACACATGAAGCAAGAACATCTGCCGAGTTGGAACCGGAAGCCCGCATGCATGTGCTCACACACGAGCCAGTGCATCTGCATACATACAGACATACATAGGCAACCACCGACTACCATCATCACCAGCACCATCACCAGCACCAGCACCAGCACCAAAACCAGCACAACCACCACCAACTTGTCTATATACGGCAAGGATGAACTTGTCAAAGGGAAAGCATGTCTTACAGGTGCAGAGCAGAAAGATGCCGTTTCAGAGCCAGGAGTGGCAGTCTGAACACAGCGATCACATTCTGCTAAACAGCGATCACGTCGATCGGAATCTGCCAGTGACACCTGAGCGAGAAAGAGAGAGAGAGAAGCAGAGACAGAGAGGGAGAGAGGCAGAGAGAGTTTGTGTGTGTATGTGTGTATGTGTGTGTGTGTGTGTGTGTGTGTGTGTGTGTGTGTGTGTGTGTGTGTGTGCGCGTGTGTGTGTGTGTGTATGTGTGTATGTGTGTGTGTGTGTGTGTGTGTGTGTGTGTGTGTGTGTGTGTGTGTGTGTGTGTGTGTGTGTGTGTGTGTGTGTGTGTGTGTGTGTGTGTGTGTGTGTGTGTGTGTGTGTGTGTGTGTGTGATTGTGTTGGGTCTGTTGCCAACAGGTTCGGCTGCTTGAAGGTGTATTGTTGTATCTGCCACCTTTGTTGGTTTCAGGGTTCGTATACTTTCTATTTGAAGTATACATACCTGTTAACCATGGACTGCTTCTGGCTAGATTAACTCTTGTGTAATCAATGATGCTAGTGACGCTTAGATCAGATCCACTCTGATTTAGCCACCCACACTAGTAGCAAGTATTACCTTCACTGGGGGCAGGGGTAACTGCAGTTGGATCCCTGGACGGATACCCTGATGCCGTCAATCCTTTTTCTGCACCTTGTCCTCACCCACTTACTGAGGTGTGGTGAGCCCATAAGTGGGATCATTTTCAAGTCCACCCAGAGTTTTGGGGATTTCAGGGGGTGTCGGCCGTTGGGCGGTTCAATAGCCAGTTGAGTCATCTTTCCAAGATTCCTTTGGAGTCTCTCTCCCCTCCTCCGGGGAGACCCACGTGACCAGTTTTGGCAGTGAGCAACAAGTGTGTGTGTGTGTGTGTGTGTGTGTGTGTGTGTGTGTGTGTACATGTGTACTGTGTGCGTGCCTGTGAGTGCCCCAAAATAAGGTCACAAAACCAGTGGTATCAAACATTCGATGCGAAAGGACTTTCCAGTCAATTCCAATACAGGTATGGCCAGATTTGATGGACTTCTCGTGCCATCTGGATGGCAGTCGCGAGTCAGTCAATTGAGAATTCAAATTGACAGGAAAAGCACGAGCTCCCACGTAGGGAGCGACACACCCCAATAAACCCGCCTGGAGATTCACAAGAAGCACGAAAAGGAAGTGTCTAGCCTTAAGCGTGAGTGTTCTGTCGTTGGGTCGCTGAATAGTTTGGCTGTGCTAGCAGTGACAAAGATGAACAAGGAAAGAGGAAAAGGAAGACAAACAGTGACTGTACCTGTTCATTGATGTTAGCCTGTTTGTCCAGTGACATCAGTAAATTACTAACAATAGAGTAACAAACAGACACACACACACACACACACACATGCGCGTGCACACGCACACATATGCATGCAAGCACACACACACGCGCGCATTTACTTTTTAAACGTAAATGAGTCACGTGGAAAGGGAGGAGGTGAGTGGGTGAAACACGGAAATCTGACGAACACAAAATAATTGTCATGAGACAGAGAATGGGGCAAAACAGAAAAGAAGTGCTTTGGTATGCACGGCCAAGAAATCGGCAACTTTGTTTGTACCATCTTGTTTCGGCTGCCGTGACGTACTGCACACGTGACCACAGTGAACAAGCTGACGTGCGTCACTCGCGAGCAGGCATGCAGCGAGAGAGTGCGAGCATGCAGCGAGAGAGTGCGAGCATGCAGTGAGAGAGTGTGAGCATGCGACGAGAGAGTGCGAGCATGCAGCGAGAGAGTGCGAGTATGCAGAGAGAGAGTGCGAGCATGCAGCGAGAGAGAGTGCGAGCGTGCAGTGAAAGTGTGTGCGAGCATGCAGCGAGAGAGTGCGAGCATGCAGCGAGAGAGTGCGAGCATGCATAGAGAGAGTGCGAGCATGCAGCGAGAGAGAGTGCGAGCGTGCAGTGAAAGTGTGTGCGAGCATGCAGCGAGAGTGTGCGAGCATGCAGCGAGAGAGTGCGAGCATGCAGAGAGAGAGTGTGAGCATGCAGCGAGAGAGTGCGAGCATGCAGTGAGAGAGTGCGAGCATGCAGCGAGAGAGTGTGAGCATGAAGGAAGAGAGAGCAGGGCTGCCACACTTGGAGGGAGAAAAATCTGACGGGGGTCCGGGGTGTCCACCGTTGAAATATTTTAGGAAAATGGCTTGCTGTTGGGGCCCCAGAACACATTTTTAACTGTCCATACACATGCACGCGTGCATTTTACAGCTACATGTACATGTACATGTACAATGACCGGCGAAACGCGACCTGGAAGCGCCGAATGGCCAACTGAACTAAAAAGCGCTCAAAATAAAATAATCGGTTGTCCCTCTTTGGGAACAAAATTGGTCAGTTTGTCCGGCAGGCGATCAAAAATCGGAGCAAGTGGCAGTCCTGAGAGAGTGCGAGCATGGCGCGAGAGAGTGTGCGAGCATGCAGCGAGAGAGTGTGAGCATGCAGCGAGAGAGTGCGAGCATGCAGAGAGAGAGAGTGCGAGCATGCAGCGAGAGAGTGTGCGAGCATGTAGCGGTGTTCAGAGTGTGACTGGGAGCATGCTATGAGAGTTTAAATGTGGGCATGCAGTGTGGTAACAAATGCAGGTCATTGACGTAGCATAATCTCAGCTGTAACGCGAAGCACTGTGCACCCGTTAACCTGCATTATTATCATAACTACGCATAGTATAACACAGTCACAGACACACACTCACAACTACATTGACAGCCACAACCACAACCAATCATTATAACATGTATGAGTACATACGTTCCGCCGGCGAATAGCGTTTCCGTCGCCGTGTCATAATGAAGTTTGGAGAAGTTGAAATACGGCCCGTGACAAGTCAGTCGCTGTATTCTCGGACTCACAGAGTCTGGTGGAGAGAAAGAAGTAGAAAGAATGGAATAGAACAGAACAAGAAACACACACCATTCTGAATTTAGTCCAACTCAACTACCACACCTGAACGCACGCACGCACACAAGCACACACACCATTGGACCATTGGACGCCCATCGCCGGAGGTGATGATAGCGATGCTACAGCAGAAGTCATAGCAGCTTGTGCTGGGATTGCACCATTCAACAGCTTGCAAGGCTGAAATTGACCGCCACTATTCAGCCTGGTCTACACCACACAGCTATGAAGTGACTTTTTCTGGCCAGTGAATCCCTACTTTTTGGTCTTTTTTATTTTTTTCCTTTTTTCCCGCACACACATCACACCACATACTCCGGCATGCACTGGCTGTTGGTAACCACCCAGGAGAATGAAAGAAAAGTCAGGAGGAGTCTGAGAAAGAGGAGAAAGACGTGTGTGACCATAATCGTCGGGAATCGAACCCGCAACCTCACACACATGCACACACACACACACACACAAACACACACACACACACACACACACACACACATACCCTCCCCCCCCCACACACACACGCGGCCGCACACACAGGTATGATGTGTGCGGGTATAAAGAGTGGGACGCAAATTGTCTAGCTCCTCTTTTTGGCAGATGTTTGCTTGTTTCCCATGGGTTCGTGCCATGCCCATGTCAACCAGGTCCAAAGAAATCAGAGGAGATAGCTTTAGTGACTGTGTCTGTTGCATTCCTTGCTCAATGCATGTACCTGCAAAACTGTACAAGTAGCGAATGCCATGTTTGACACTGGATTCGTGCTACTGATCCCCAGCTGACTATCCTTTCCAGTGCATACACACACCTTGACCTTGACCTTGATCTTGCCCATTGCGTACGCAATGATAGCGAATGTCGGAAAGTTCAAGTGAGAACACGAGCGCAGAACTTGGCATGTCGTTTCAGGTCTCCTGGTCGACGAAGCTGGCGTCCACAAACACATAGAAGAGGATCAGGAGCGGGCCGTGGCGGTGGAGTGCTACTCGCAACTCTTCTCCAGCCGGGACGATCTTGGCAACTCTCAAGCCAGGTGGTCATGCCGAGGTCCGCCAGGTCAGTCGACACCACATCTCGCCACCTCTTCTTCGGGCCGTGACGAGGACGGGGGGCAGGCAGCTTGCCGAACAGCAATTGCTTCGGTGCACGCGAGTCGTCCATACTGCCGACGTGACCCAGCCAACGAAGCCGGTGGCGACGGATGATGCTGGTGATGTCAGGGTCAACACCGAATGTAGCCGCTAATGTGGCCGTTGAGATCCGATCATCCCACTGTTGACGACGGCCGATACCCACGATGGACCGAACACACTGATGGTGAAACGTGTTTAGCTTCTGGAGGTGGCCTGCCTTGGTGGTCCACGTCTCCACACCATACAAGAGGGTCGTGAGGACGACAGCCTCATAGACACGCCTCTTGCTGCGAAGCGACAGGGTCTTGTTATCAAAGACAGGAGCTTTGAGGGTTCCGAACACAGCTGAGGCTTTCGCAAGGCGAGAGCGGACATCAGCACAGGCAAGACCATCTGAGGAGAGCACACTGCCAAGGTAGGTGAATTGGTCCACCACCTCGATCGCGTCTGCTCCAACAACAACGTCACGGCGATCAGCAGACTCACCCACAGCCATACCCTTGGTTTTTCTCACACTGACCGTTAGGCCCCAGCTGCTTGCACATGTGATGAAGCTGGAAGTCATCGCTTCGAAGGCAGGCCGAGATATTGCGTAGAGCACAGCATCGTCAGCAAACTGGGATTCTGTGACCATTGATGACAGGAGCTTTCCCTTCGCCGTTCGGTCACCAACTAACTTCCTCCCGACTTTATATCTAAAGGATATGCCAGCATCCGGACAACTGGACCTCCAACTGGCAACGACGGCAGAGAAGTACAACTTGAAGAGCATTGGCGCGAGAGTGCAGCCCTGACGCAATCCATTCCGCACAGTTATCGGGTCAGTCAGCTTGCCATCCACCCGAACAGAAGCAGTCATGCCGTTGTGGAGTGACTGAATGATGCGGAGCATTGCCGGCGGAACACCAAGCTTCTGGAGAACCTGCCACAGCGCTGGACGCGAGATACTGTCATACGCCATTCTCAGATCGACGAACAGGACATATGCATCTGAATCATGCTCCAACGTCTTCTCCATCAACTGCCGTGCGACGTACACCATACACACACACACACACACACACACACACACACACACACACACACACACGCGCACACACACACACACACACACACACACGCATACACATACACACACACTGCGACACACACACATGTTACATACACTCTTCCCTCCCTTATATCCTTTCTCTCTTCGCTACCTTGCTATCGGAAGAAACTCCCCTTTGGATTTGCGGAATAAAACAAGAGTCGTCGTCGTCATCATCATCATCATCATAGCATAGCTGTGAATGACCATGGTGGCACTCGGAGTCATGGTCCGGATGGTCTCGGTGACATCACGTTATTTGGGCAAAAACTGCTCTGCTGGGTGTGACACTGATGCGGCCTCGTCGAACTCGCTATCACTACACCGAAGTGGTTATTTTTTATTTTATTTTATTTTTTACTTGAAACCACGCACCCAATTCGTAAAAGAAGAAAGAAGCAGGAAATGACAAAACAACAGACTAACAAGACATTGACTGAATGGGGCTGCAAATGCAATGCAGCGGTGGTGATGGGGTGCTGCAGGCTCTGCCGACCAATGGTCTCGGCATCCGCGCCTACTTCACGCATCAGAATATCGGGAGAAGAAGAGAAACAAAAAAAGATTGAAAAAATATATAGCGAAAAGTATAGCGTGGAGAGAGAGAGAGAGAGAGAGAGAGAGAGAGAGAGAGAGAGTAGAGAAAACAAGGAAAAAGATAGCAATACCTACATGTAGATACTAGATAGGTGCGATTAGACTGAGTCAGTAGCCCACATCCAGTTCTCGGCGCGCAGGTAGCTGTTATGCATGTGTCATGACCATGCATGGTGAGACCACGTGTCAACGTTGTTAGCATAGAGCCCCTACTCTTCCCATTGTTGTCTTGTCCTGCTACTTGTCTCTCCTCTTCTTACCAGTAGGTTGTGTCTTTAGTGAAAAGTAAAAAATAAAAATGTTACGGTGACGAATCTCTGATGGGAATCATGACTAGTTTGACAAAGGAATTGGCTGCTATGAAAGAAGCTGTTGTTGACAACAGTTCCCTGAGGATCGAAGTGGCGGCACTCAGGGAGGATGTTCAAACGTTGCGTACGAGTAACTGTACCCTAACAGGCCACTCCACGTCCAGTAGCGGACCTGTTGGTTGACCGGGTGTTTATGAAGTTTGGAGTCCCAAGCCAATTGCATTCGGACCAGGGCCCTAATTTCGACAGTCGTCTCCTCTCCTGTCTGTGAAAATTGTTGGGGGTTTGCAAGTCCCGCACAACCCCATACCGACCGCAGTCGGATGGTCTAGTAGTGGAGCGAGCAAACCGCACCATTCAGGTGGCCCTCCATGCATATGTTGAGGGCGATCAGTCACCTGGTCACCGTGCCTGCAGGCTACAACTTACAGCATGTTTGGGCGAGTTTCTGTCACTCGAGTTGAACCTTGGTGTGAAAGTTGTTGCCTGCTGGCGTGGTGACCATCTCGCCGGTTCCAGTTTACCATCCACAAGGCTGGCTTCTGGGATGTCCTATGTCTGCGCTACGGCTGGACCCCTCCCCGGTTGCCGTCTCACTGCACCTGTGGAGAGCCCTTCGACACCACCCATGCCCTGTCATGTGCCATCGGAGGATTCACTGGGATGCGCCACAACGAGCTCCGAGATCTCACCGCTAATCTGTTGCGTGAGGTTGTGCATGACGTCAGCGTGGAGCCAGAGTTGGAACCCCTCTCTGGTGAAACATTTCCTCTCCGGTCGGCCGACACTGAGGCTCATGCTCGTCTGGATGTGGCAGCACGTGGATTGTATGGGAGGAGGTTAGAGAGGACAATGTTTGATGTTCGGGGTTTTAACCCTTTTGTCCCCTCCAACCGAAACCTTACTATCCCGTCTGTCTACAGAAACACGAGCAGGAGAAGCGGCGTAAGTATGAACGGCGAGTCCTGGAGGTGGAGCATTCCCCGTTTGTTCCCGTGGTCTTCGCAACAACTGGTGGGCAGGGGAAATCTGCTTCGTCCCTCTTCGCCAGGATTGCCAGCAAGATGTGTGAAAAGCGCCATGAGCCTTTCCCGGTCACGATGGCTTTCGTACGGGCGAAGATCTACTTTTGCCTTGTTCGGGCAATGGTTGCCAGTCTACGTGGTCACCGTCAGAACCCGCCTAGACATCTGTCTGGTTCGGCTGTGCTGGCGGCTGCTGAATGTGCTCTGGTGCCATAAACTGTGTACGTTATGCATGATTGTACAGTTTCTTTGGTAACGGTGTTCCCATGATAATGAGCTTCATTTACTTTTGTATTTGCAGTTTGTTTTGTTTGTTACGATTTCTCGGTTTTTCATTCGGCTTTTCTCATTTTTTAAATTATAATTTGGTGCACTTTTAGTGCTATGTGGTTTATAATTTTCTTTTTTCTTGATTTTGTACTTAGCGCTTTCAGGTGTTATCATTTTCTTTTCTTATTTTTGCACCAAGTGGCCGTCCGTCCGTGAATACATTGTATTTACTTCGAGACGCCTAAGAGGCGTTTCTGGTGGGTGGGTTCGCCTGCAAGGTGTTTCTAAAAAATACATTTTGGAGTGCATGCATACCACACTACGCGTGTACATGGTGTCATGTACATGATGTCATGTACATGATGTCATGTACATGATGTCATGTACATGATGTCATGTACATGATGTCATGTACATGATGTCATGTACATGATATCATGTACATGATGTCATGTACATGATGTCATGTACATGATGTCATGTACATGATGTCATGTACATGATATCATGTACATGATGTAGCACTACCACATGTACATGTGCATACATGTACATGTAGTAGCAAGACTGGGCAAGAGGGTTACACTCTTGGTCTAAAAATAATGTACAAGAGTCATGTAGGGTTTAACCGGATCCTTGGCCTTGGCTTCAGGTTCAACTCTGAACCGCAAACGACAAGGGTTCGCTATCACGATATTCGCTATAATGCGAGTTCGGTACAGTCAGACCTCGCATAATCGCACACAACCGTTTCCCACAAAAAAATATCCGGATAGGCGAGGGAACCGGATAACCAAACACACATACTGCACGTATGCATTGCATGTGCTGTGAATCGGTAACCAGCGATTTTCTTCCGGATGGCGAGGGATCCGGATAAACGAGGACCGGATAACCGAGATCTGACAGTACTGCTACTGCTTTAGTGCTAGTTGCTGTCTGTACAAATACATTACAGTTCATTCATCGGAAACAGTCCCGCTGGCTTTTGAAAGTCCGATTTGGGCCGAATTGAGGATCAAAAACCCACTTTAAATCTCAAAAATCTGGGTTTCGGATCTGCTTCTCCATACATTTTGCCATGGTACACCTGTCCCAATTTGTAAAACCTGGTTGAATTTCTATTTCCCTGTTCTTGGACTTTTCTGACCTCAAATGAGGCAAGGAGTAATTGCACGGGTCATACAATGCAGGATGTACTGTTGTTTTCATGATATCTACAACTATGTGTACAGACAAATTCCTAAGAGCCCGAGATGACGGGCTGTCAACTGGCGCTGCTTTCCTGGACATGCCAAAGGCCTTTGACAAGGTCCAGCATCAGACACTTGTCGAAGACCTATTCCAGCTTGGAATCTCCGGCACAGCCCTGAACTGGTTAAGCGACTACCTCTCAAATCGTCAACAACAAGTCGTCATCAGCGGCGATAGTAGCTCATCTTTCACGTGCTCAAGTGGGGTTCCCCAAGGGTCTGTACTGGGACCACTATTGTTTGTCATATATGTCAGGGATGTGGCCAGTGAAGTGGATCAGTTTGCCGTCCAGGTAACCCAATTCGCGGACGACATCATGCTACACGATAGCAGGAAGGACAAGGTAGTGCTGTCACACAACCTGTCTTCAGCCATCACCCATCTCAGCAACTGGCTTGGTGAGCGCAACCTAATCCTGATTAGTCGAAAAACACAAATATTGTTTATTCCTGCCAATCGTCATGACGACAAGACATTGAATGTGCACTGTGCAGCTACACTCCTCCAGCAAGTGACAAGCGCCAAGTACCTGGGCTTGCACATCGATGACGACCTGAAATGGAACACAATGGTTGACCATATAGCCAAGACAGTGTCCTCAAAGATTGCCATTCTCTTCCGCCACAGGCAGTGCCTCCCAATGCCATGCCGCTCAACCTACTTGAGATGTATAATTTTACCCACATTCCAATACGCATGCAACAGCTTTTCCTCTTCCCTTTCCTCTGCACAACGTGATCGTCTTGAGAAACTTCTCAAGCGAGCTGTGCGTGTTGTCTGCTCTGCTCCGTTCCTGTCTCCAACTGCCCCTCTTTTTGAACGCCTCAGCATTCAACCCCTGCAATCAATGTATTGCCGCAAACTCCTCCTGCTAACCTTTCCTGTAATTCATAATAACTGTAGTGTGCTTCTTCATGACCTTGTCACACCTCTGTCACACACCCGTCGAACGAGGAGCACAGATGTTCCCCTGCTTCTTTTCCCGAGGATCATATCTGCCGCTGCCACACGCAGCCCTTCATATCAATGTCCCGCTCTCTGGAATAAGTTGCCTGCATCTATACGATCACTGAAGAAACCAGGTCAATTCCGGACCGCTCTCTTACCCCACCTGAAAAATTCACCGACTTGCGTTGCTCACTGATCAAATAATTATGCAATCTTTCCTCTGCTAGCTAGCTGCTGTCTTAAATCCTACTCATTTTTTCTATTTTCTTTTTTTTCTTTTTAATCTTTTCCTTACATTTGTGTGCCTGTTTGTCTTTAGTCGATCTCATGTAATAAGGCAACACTGCCTGTTTGTTATTCGACGTTAAATAAACCAATCCAATCCAATGTGCGGGAGACACCAAAAAGTTAGGTTGCCAGTTTCCAATGAATGGACTGTAGTATGATTACGCCCCGTGCACATTGTACAGCAGGAGTACATAACCCCCCAACTTCCCCCCCCCCCCCCCCCCCAGAGTGTGCAACTCCCACATACCCTGCTATCCCGACAGAATTTCAAGTTGACGTCATTATTTATGATGCAATGCTCCTTGCACCAGTGATTTACAACATGTGTACGGGTGTCAACGCACCACACGTTTTTCTCTGCAATAATTTGTACAGGATCAGATGGGCTTTGGTCCACCACACCAGACACGTTCTGGATTCGTCTGATAATCCGTACACAGTGCGCATTGCATCATAAAAATGACGTCAATTTGAAATTCTGTTGGGACAGCACCCATAGTCGAGTTGCACACTCTGATCTGGGGGGGTTAGGCTGTGTTTACATGAGAAATTTCAACCCGGGTCGAGTTCAGCCCGGGTTGAAAGTCTGTATGACAAACAAAAGAGGTGAGCGTTTACATGAAGACAGTTGACCCGGGTCAAATACTGATATGCCGCCAAAAGTCCACTTCTACAGTCCTGTATGGTCACGTGAATCCGTTCGCGCGAAATTTGCATCTGCAGTGCTGTTCAAACCTGGCGCGAGATACGCACAGAAGTACGTTTGTACGATTTTCTTGACCCGGGTTGATTTCAACCCTCCCCTTGGGGGGAGGGTTGAAGTCAACCCGGGGCGAAATTTCAACCCGGGTCAAGCGCAATGCGTCATGTAAACGCGCCATTCACTTTGTGCACATGGCGGGTTGAAATCTGACCCGTGTCGAACTCAACCCGGGTTGAAACGCTTCATGTAAACACTAAACACAGCGTAACTCAGTATGTCCTCTTGTGTACAGTGAACGTACAAGACATTGTACACATGACTGATGACTCACCGAGTGTTTGGGTGCAAGTAGGCTCCTGTGCTTGAGCTAAAGCTAGCCAGCAGCCAAGGAGAACACATGCCAGCTTGTGGACCAACTCCATGCCCAGCACCAGGCTCGGCAGAACCTCAGTATCTCTCACTAGTATCGAGCAGAACAGGAAAGCTGTGCTGACCTCCTAACTACGTACTTGTGGGACTAGCTGCATCCGCCGTAGCCACACTGTTCTAGCCTGGAATTATTAACTACAACAAATCACTAGTGGTACAGACTATTTTACCCACATTCTACGCCGCTTTCCCAATACCTCATTCGTCTGCCAAGCTTGCAAGGCTCAATGGTAAAGTCAAAATTTTCAAAATGGAAATATTGTTGAGCAGAGTACGAGCATACTACTACTACTTTGTAGTACGTGAGATAGTCCATGCTCCAGGGTCAGGGCTAGAAACAAGCCCCTTTATGGTACGTTATTCAAGTCGTGGAAGCCTTTTCGGGCACTGCAGTACGATCTCGCGATCTCGCTAGCTTGTAGTCCAAACAGAGAACTATAGTGGTACGAAATACGGGTACATTGTACCTTTTATCAGGTCGGAATACACCTTTTGCGGACACCAGAACACACTGTGGATCACACTTGCACAACCTTCACAACCGCAGTGCATCCCCTGCAGCCGATATGCGATCAAGAACTACACATGATCACATGACTGCACCGCCTTGTCTCTGCTTCTGCCGCACTTTTTTTTTTTTTTTTTTTAGTAGTAAAAGCCTCTTTTACGGGCGAACAAAACACAATTTGTGTCAAAAATACAGTGTTGACGAAAGGTTGGTATCACCGCTGTCGGATTTTTTGCACAAGCCAAAATTGGCTTCTGCCGCACTGGCGGTTGCCGAGGCTAGGATTGTGGTCTGATCCGGTGTCATATAGTAGAATGACCCCCGTAGTGGAAGGCCCCCCCCCCCGGTCATTGTACTATATAGTAGATTGCCCCCGGGGTCACTCTACTATAATTATAGTACAACGACCCCCCTCGGCCGAAGTTCCGAAGGTAGTACAGGTCGTCCCTCGTTAATACATAATCTCTGGGACTTGACACATGTTATGTATTAACGGGGTTTATCATTTTGTATGTTATAATTTCCGCGGATTCCAGTTTTTCTCCCTTCATTATAATTTAAGCGCAGTTTAGCGCGTATTGGCTTATGATTTCTTTTTCTTCTGTTTGTATTTAGCGCTTGACCGGTTATTATTTTTCTTCTCTTTATTTTGCGCTACATATTATTATTTTTCTGGTCTGTGATCATGGCAAGTTAGTTGGCAACACAGGATTGAGTCTTTTTTTCAGATTAAAAAAAAAAAAAAAAAAATTAACGGGGTTTATGTACTAAACGAAAGTGTACATAACTTGCTTGTATACCAGAATTTTTCACTTTTTTTCAACTTTTCTGAGTGTTTCTTGCTACCATGACTAGGCAGCGAGATATTCTTGATTCCCTCGATATAACATAAAAATTATGTTATAACGGTCACATTTAGCGAAGATTCTACAGTTGACATGGTACATGCCCAGCCGCACCTGTACAGTCACTCGAAAAAAAACAGAGCTTTGTCGGTTTGTGATGTGCGCTCTGATTTCTATGCTAATTGGCATAAGTAGAAACTAGAACACGATGTGCCTCCACTGGAAGGCCAAAAGACCAGTAAATTATGTACTATTGAGGTAGGTGATATGCGGGTACGGAGAAATGTTATGTACTAACGGGGTTTATGTTCGTATCCTGTTTAGTCTACCCCCTCTCTACCCTTCTGCTTCCCTGTATGTCCTTGCAAATGCTTGCCCACTGTCGACCCACCGTCAAAAATTAATTTGCACTTTTGCTCACAAATACTAGCTCTACATCCTCCTCATCTTAACGTGTATAACTGGTTCCGAATCACAGATGGCTCCCAGACAAGATGCTCTGTTGCCCTCCCCTTGGCTAAAACGTCCTCCCTTGTACGCTCTCCACTCTTTGTTGCTTACTCTGCTTGGCTTGCGCTGCCCGCTACTACGCGCAATGCCAGTACCCTGGACGCATTTAAATCTGCTCACTAGATTCACCATCACCTGTCCCTCCCATGCTTCTCCGTCTTGACCATTACTTTTCTTCTTTTATTCACCATGGTTGGTTAACACCCACATCTCCCGTACTGGCTGATTTTCTTCTCATGCCATGAGGTGTTGTCTATAATAATAAATAATAATGTACTAACGGATTATGTACTAACCGACAAAATTTGTATGGAAGTGACCACGTTTCGTCCGGGACTTGAGATTTCTTATGTACTAACGGGGTTTATGTACTAACCGGACTCGTATTAACGGGGGACGACCTGTACCTATTCTCATGGCGACACTTCGACACAAGCTCACTCCTTTTGTTGAGAGAGAGGTGCTTGGGTGCTTGCGCGATTGCCAATTTCTCTGCCAGGCACAGGTTGCACCTTTTCAGTTTTGCTTTTGTTGCTCTACCACTCGGTATTGAGCACTCTCTTGGACAGCCTGGAACCTCTCTGTTTTAACATCAATGCACCTATCACACACACAATAATCCAAAAGGAGCAAGGAGCACACAGAAAACGCAAAGGAACACTGAACTTGCAAACTTTCTTCCAACTCCAAAACAAAAACAATCCAACACAAGGTGGGATGTTCATGTCTCCTAAAGAGGGAAAGTGCGCGACCTATGTACAAATGTTGTGGACTTTTCACCACATATTCCCACAATCAAGAGTACATAACCCCGGACTCTTGCCACAATCCATAATGTCCACGTGGAATCTGTGGTGTAAACTCCATCCCTTTCTACCTGCACGTGCGAAACGACAAGTCTGGTGGACTCTGCTGGGGGGTCATTCTACTATAGTACACCGGCTCAGGAGCGGTATTGTGTGGGAACTGAACTATTGTTATCGATTTCACTGTACTACTTTTTTTCTCTTTTACGTAATTACTTTATACCAGGCGTGGGCCATCCCCTGTACATAGGTGCCATCATTTTTCTTTGTTTCAATAAAATATTCTAACTGCATTGTTCTAAGTACGTAGTGTAGTACTGCATAATGCAGACCATGGCCTCGTTCGGGAGCCAAAACTGCTTCTTCTGGCCTTGAATGCGACTCTTTCGGCGTTCTTTTACAAGAGAGATTGGAAGCTTTGTCACAACTCTGTACTACGATCATCAGGCAAGTAAGTTGGAGACCCTCCGACAAGTTCGAGAGCCGTCCTTTCCGAATTTTAGGAGGCTCTCCAAAGCTTTCCAAGCTTCAGAGGTGGTTGAAACTTGGAGGCGGTTTGGGATCAGCGCATGCGAACTAGTTTTCCCTTGCATATCATCCCTTCATCATTCTGTGAGAACCTGTCCTATGGGCAGGTGAGAAGGCCTCTCTGCCTGTTATTATTATTATTATTATTTATTAAATTTTTAATAGGGCATTCCCACAGGCCTTCTTACGGGGTACCCTATATGTTTTTGTATGGATGAGCGGAAGTCTGAGTGATTGACGCTGTGTGTGTGGCATGACTCTAGTCACAAAACAGTCTGTTAAGAGCGGGCTGCACACCTTATGTAATGATCTGTAAATAAGTACAAACAATTTGAATCTCAAACGTAAGGAGATAGAAGCTAGGTGGTATCTGGCTAGAAAAGTAGAGATGTCACAGAACCTTGGATAACCAAAAACAGTTCGAACTGCACGGTTGCTGAGGCGAGTCAAGCGATCTTGTTGCCCAGCCTGCAGACTATGATAAAAAGCATTGGAACCGTACTCTAGTTGAGCCTGTATGAACAAGCAGTAGAATGTTCTCTTTGCATCAATTGTTAGACGGTCACGGATTCTACGAAACACAGCTAGCTTGTCGCCTACCTTTCGCTTAAGGGTACTGGTGTGGTCAGCGAATGTCAGGTGCTGGTCAAAGGTCATACCAAGGTACTTGACGGTGGTCGCTGGTGCAATAGAGACATTCTCAATGGTTAGTCGGAGGGAGGAGCATACTTTTTTTTCGATCTGGAGTGGAACACAATGAACTGGGTCTTGCTGGCATTCAGGGTTAGTCCTCGTTCACTCAGGAAGTCCCTGATACGGCACACATCTCGGGCCAGTTCTTCGGTAGTTTGTTGTAGGTTGCGGCCTGCTAGGTACAGGGCGACATCGTCTGCGTATTGGCGCACGATGCTGGAAGATGCTGCCGAGAGCAATTTGCGTACAGATAGGTTAAAGAGCACAGGTCCGAGGGTAGATCCCTGAGGAACTCCCCTGTGAGCTTCGTACAGTTCACCTCTGGACGTGCGTGTTACCACTCGCTGTCGCCTGCCTCGTAGGTAGCTCGCAAACCATTGCAGGGCGCTATCTTCGACGCCGATCTCGAAAAGCTCCTGCAGTAGCATGTCGTGATTGACCGTGTCAAATGCTTTCGACCAAGAGTCCATAACCCAATCCTTTCAAAAACTATTATTAGTTATTCAATAATCTACGTGGAGATAATAATTTTAATAATTATAGCTATGAATAGGATGAAGGCAACAAGAAAATCGATTCTGGGTTTTCAATAATATTTTTGTTATAAAATACACAGTAATACATGTCAAACAAGTAACGTAGTTGCGTGATGCCTGCGGCCTTCATCCTATTCCGCTGTATTCATCAGCTTACAAGTTCTCTTCTTTCCTCAATGTTCACCCTCCAGTCGGCTGCTACTTGCACCAAGAGGCGCACTAGAGGGCAATCATTCTCTTCACTTTCTTTGCCCGCTGCTACCACTAGATATGGCATGTTCTCTATTTCTTTCCTTGGCGCTGATAGGTGGAATTCTCTGCCTGTCTCGTGTCGCCAGGTTGAGCATCTATCCGTTTTTGTTTCGCTCTGTAAAGAGCACTTAGGGTTCCCTGTAACAAGACGGCAACGTCTGTAGGGCCTTCCCTATCAAAATAATAAATTCTACTACTACTACTACTACTACTACTACTACTACTACTACTACTACTACTACTACTATGGCAATAAATAAGATAAATTGTGCACTCATAACAACAGCAAAAATGAAGAAAGTCAAGTTCCATAACGTTTTCTTGTGACTGTCATCAGTGGAACGCCGTCACATAAAAATGTAATAACTAAAACACACACTTATATACATAAG